GCGTGGCATCCCAGTATACACATGTTTATGGTGTCGGCATGTTGGAGCTAGCCCTCCCCCACTTCACCAGTATAGGAACGCATCAGCATCAACTTTTCGGCCGCCAAGCCCTGAAGAAGTCCCCAGTGCTTCAAGCTCTAACTTTGCCGACGCCGCGTCCCTGCCGTTGACATGATTTGTGTGCTTGCAGTAGAATTGGTTGCCTGCCAGTGAGCTGGACTTGCTACTGCGGTTTAGTTGCATCCACATCTTCGAAGTAGTTCTCAGACTCTACCTGCTTGGCAAAATCTTTCCGACTTTCACCAACAATCGACATTTCTCGGCGTAACGGCATAGAGTGTAGCTCTTGCGAGAAAAGGTGATGAGGCTTTCTGGTGAAATGCGTGGCTACTCTTAGGGTCAGGATGCTCACGCATATTGTGTGGTGCCTGGGCGTGTACGCCAATCCAACAGGCTCGAATGCGTGCCCGCGGACGGATTGAAAATCGCACACATAACGAACAATCTACACCCTGAGACTAGTATGTGATACTTGCCTTACAATCTCTTGAGCTCTAGCAACAGCGCTAGCAGCGATCTCAACAGCCGTTGCCGCCGACGGAGCAGCATGTGCTCTGACGCTTGCAGGGGTTGGTTGTGTCAGGAGACGTTTGCCAAAATGGCTTTGCCATTTTGGCTGTCGGTCTGGGCCGCGGGTCCACGCAAGAAGGAATTTTCTGTCCTGTTGGTTTTGGTTTGGCAGGGTTCGGTGCTTGCCGCTTGAGAGCCCGCTGATGGTGTTCAGATTGTGTGCTTGAGTCCGAGTTTTCACGACACAAACAGGTGGGGTGCACGAGGGCAGCAGCGATTACCATGTTGCACTCCCGAGAAAATGCACGAAGCTGCAGCGTCGCACGTCGTGTTGCCTAAGGGTCTGCGGAACAGGGAAGCCTCTCGGCTCAGGCAAGGTCAGGCTAGTACAGTTTGCGTCCTCCTTACTCGCCATGGTGTTTGCCAGCGCCTGAGTTGTCCCGGTCCCAAGTCCTGGAGGGAACCATTAGTTACAGAACCCACTGAGAGTTCCCAGAAGTGAGGGTTGTCTGTTCTGCGATGCCGACAGGAGCTGTACTCAACATGAGCTCAGCGAAACAGCCTAGTGATCAGTTCGTTGAAGCGACTTTCACTCGGCTTGCACAAAGACTGGTGTATCATCACCGAAACTCCTGCTCCTTTCTCGCCCGTAGAGCCTGAGCTCATTACGTGCCAGTCACCTTTGGAGAATTGCCAGCTCCCTCGCCAAAATGGGTCTCCTGTATGGCAACTATCTTGACATGCTGATCTTCCGAGGTTGTTAGCACGGAGACTAACTCTTCCCACACAGCGGTCGTCAGAGAACCCGCGTTCCATGTGAGATAGTTGACCCTGGCTTGCTCATAGGATCCTGTGGACTTCCTTCGAGTTGTTGCCTTGTTGCCTTGGGCTGAACTGGCAAGGCTGGAGTACCTCCTAGCTGTAGCACGGTCATCGCTCGCCCTTTGTATTCAGAGCTACCGTCCTGTGGGGCCTTTCGGATTGCCTTTTGGTTAGAACTTTTACCATTCCCTTTGGGAACAGACTGTCTTGACTCGGTCTGCACGTGAGAATTCCATGGAAAGACGTGTCCCTGGACGCTTTCAGCTGCTATCAGTATGTTTGGAGATCCAAGTAAACATTGGAGGCAAACAAGAAACTCCGTACCGAGCTTCTAGTCACACTGCAAATCCCGGGTACCGAGCAGGAACATTCTCATAGTTCGTGGTGATTTTAACATGTCGCTGCGAACTGATCGTAAGCACGTAGGACCCCGCACACTCAATGCGTGTCGAATGGGGCACCGAGGCTCCCGCGAACTACAAGAGCTAACAGGGGACTTTCAGCTAGGAGCCGCTAACACATGGCGCGTAAGGAGGCCAGCGACTCACAGTAAAGGCAACACAGTCACGCAGATCGACTTTGCTTTTATACGGATCAACCTGGCGGCTGGATGTCAGCCCCAAAGACATTTCTCAGTTGCACAATGGCGGAACGGCAGTCGGCAGTACCCTCTGTTGGGGGTTGGGGGGAGTGCAGCACAGCAGGAGATACTCCGCTTCAGCATCACCTTCCCACAATCAGGTGGCTACGGAGGAAAGCTATAGACTTAGAGATCCCAAAATCCAAGTCTTTGCTGACTCTGTAGAACAACGGCTGATTCTTCAGGAAAGCTCCTGGGACTCCCTGCGTTCCAGTATGGACTAACCTCCTAGAAGTAGTGCACAACAGTGTGAACAGCGATGGGAATTTGGAGAACTAGATGGCTCCAGATATGTCCGGCTTTGCAGGGCCACTCACTCAGTGATGTGGGTACAAAGGATCTTCTCAGGAGCTGACAGTGGCGATGCTCCCCGCGAGGATTCTGCACGGTACTCAGTGGTCACTCTTCGACGCCATCAAGAACAAGGGACTGATCCCGGGGAGCCAACAGAGCAAAGGAAAAGGTGGGGGTCGTGGGAAAGAAGGCAGGCAGCACGTTCATTTTGTGTCTGAGGCGAACCGGTAATGACCGGGTGGCTTTGGCCTGCGAGAGAACTCAACAATGCTGGTCGAGGTAGATCCAGCTCAAGCAGTTCGCCAAGGAGTGCGCTGTTATGCCAGCAAGAATGGGGTGATCCTCACCCACGGATGTGGGGCCACCCTCGCGCATCACCTGTTTTCAGAACATGAAGACATGGAAACGATATGACGGAGAAGGGCATCCCTTCCAGGGGGCTATCCTTCCACTGATGCTGTTTTTCTGGAGGATATACTCCCCAGACGCAATGTTCAAGGAGAGGAACTACTCCCTCCCGGCAGCTAGTGACTCGCATCTCTAAAAACGGGAAACTTCTTGCTTATTGTTTCCGTCCCAGTCAAGTCTTCCTCCTTCTGGGTCTCCCCAAGCCAACTCAGGTTCATCATCGAGACGAAGCAGACTGTGCCTCAGCAATTAGTGCATGAATCACCATGAATGACAGCTCAAAAGTGCCGAAGCCTGTTTGTGCCAAGCCAGTGATCATACTACCCCCCAGTGTCAGAGCGTACAGGTCGCACTCTCAGCAGACTCCTCTTCCGGATTTGACTGCAGCCGGGAAGAAGCCTTTAAACCCCAACCTAGGCACGCAATCAATTCCTTTCTCGCGCCTCATTCACGCATGCAGCCAAAGCGATGAGGAAGCGTCGCACAGTTTGACGACAGGCTAGTGCGCTTCCGCCAGCTGCCAAGACTCCGCCGTTCATGATGGAGATGCACCCTGATGCTATCTCGTAGTCTGCTGCCCTAAGGGGCGGGACGCATGCAGGTGCAGGGCTTCGGCGCGGCCTGCAGCAGACAACTGGTGGAGATGCTCTCCAGATCTGAAGAATCCGGACTCGCATCCCATCGAGGATTCAGTGCTGCCAGCAGCAGTCGGCCAAACCTACTCTAGGAGAGGGCCAAACTAGGTCAGTCGCTCGCGAAGCGAGGATAAAGTTTCACACCAACAGAATCATTTCCCGCTGTGTGCGAATGAAAATGCGGAACAGGGAGCATGTCAAAAGCACGACGTGGACCAACTATGCGGTGGAGCTGCTCCTTGCACACGTCAGTTGAAGTAGGCGAAGATGCTCCAGGTGGACTACATAGACAAGCGGCGTGGCTGGCCATGGTGGCATCATCGAGGGAGGGAGGGAAGTCCCAGCACTGCCATGCCGAAACCACAGCTTTGCTGAAGGTTAAGTAAGCGCAGCGCTGTTGTCGAGCTCATCGAGTGGCCAGTGTGTCCAAGAGGTGTCAGGTGCCCAAGCTCTCCCACCAAGACTGTGGCCGTGCGGTCCTTCGATGAACTGGCTTTTATGCAAGAATGTGCCTTGTCCTTCAAAGTCCAAGCTCCTCTCTCCTGTGCTTGAGGTGTTGGGTGTTCTAAGGCCACGGCCTGCCGAACTATTTTTCCACCGTTCTGACATCTTCTGACTATTTGCTGAAGTTTGGTTCTCCGTGTTCGTTGTGGCTTCTGTGTTCATGTCTAAGCTGCGTCTACATGAGGGTTCTACATGCTGGTTTCCGTGTGCCCACTGCTATCGCCGATCATCGCCACACAAGCCCACGTCTGCATTGAGATTCTTGCTTTCTGGTGCTGTGGATGTTGTCGGCACCGAAAGCAGCGTCTACATTTGGGGTTCACGTTTTCCGTTGTTGTGGCGTGTGCTGCGTGCATCACTTGTCAAACTGCATGGTTGTCATCATACAGTTGGTTGGTGTTGCATCTGATTGCATCAAGTTGATACTTTGTATTGGCCACTGTGTCCGGCACTGTTGGCGACAATTTGATCTGGAACTGATTCCACTCGTGTAATTTATCAACAGCGATTGAATATTCAATATCTTTTGCAGGACTTGCTTGGAATAAGAACGCCTTTTTCCCATTGAAAGAAGTGTGGAGCTTGCCATTGCGAACTCAAAGTTTCAGACAGTGTAGCAAAAGGGTGCAAAAGAACATGTTAAGTTGCCTTATACGCATTCCCGTAAGGCCATGGCACATCACTCAACTTGCCGCACAGCAGCTGCTCACGGGTCATGCGGTGAGGTTTAGAGCTTTCGTTTTGCGAGAGCCCACCAAGCACTTGGCTCTGCAGCAGACGTATGGGCAACGAACTGTGTTGTGTCTGAAGCCATCTGGAGGAAGCTTGCTTGAGAGACCTTCGGGCAGATCGCACAAGAAATCCGATGGCAAAAAAAGTCAGCACCTGTTGAACGAAGACACCAAAGGGTTGGTTCAGGGGCCGTCAGCAAGGCAGTGACACACCCAAACCACATGGTGGTGTCGTTTTTCGGCAGATACCTGGAGCAGCTTGTAAATTTTGCTTACCGCAGCAGCAAGAACAAGCGTTGTTGATACCGCTACGAGTCTGACATCGACCAACCTGTGATACCTTCGAACACGTTCTAAGCTCCCACGCCTTGCCTCCTCAGTTCACAAGCCTGAGAGGTTGCCGGCGCAGGATCGGAACAAGGACTGCTTTTGAGCGATGGTACGACCCATCGATGCATGATGGTGAAGTATGGTTGCTTAAACGCCGCTGACGTTTTTGGCAGCGGCAGGAAAAAGTTCTGGACGAATGCCACGGCCTTAACGCTAGCCCCAGCGAGCTTGAAATTCTACGGGAGCAAAACGTTGGATATCAGCCGCGGAAGCTAAGTGCACCACCGTTGCATTCCTCAATACTTCTTTGTAAATCCTATGGCTTATTTCGTGGTACTTCAGACTCATGCCCTTTTTCCTTCATGAGATGTTTGCTAAGACACAGGACTCCACACTTGGGCAGGTAGCGACTTGAAACATTTAGTACTTAAATGCTTCTCGGTGATGGAGCCTGCCCAAGAGAAAATTTAGGTCCATTATCGTGCGCTTTTACTGTGAGAGCGGCTCAAGACCTTTTCAGGTTAGGATACATGTAGGGAAGAGATTACAAAGTGCGTGTCCGCCGGGGGGCTCGGCGGGGAATTCGGGGAGTTCAAGGGCAACACTGGAACCTAAGCCCCAAACTCCTGGGCGACCAGCGACAGAACGAACTGAAAATGAACGTCGAAAATAAAAACTCGGTTGTGCTGTTGGGAGGGGGCAAGGGTGGAGGGCAGTGGAACCTGATCAATACGTCCGCCACCTCCGACCTCGGCGGACTTAGAGACTATTGATGGACTGAAGCCTCGCGCAGTATAAAAGGCAAGGATTTGAACGGATGGGCGAAGAAATTTGGAATCAAATTTAGAATCCGTTCTACGATCCTCTGGATGTGCCACCACTGCTAAGCCGTGCTGCGCTTTTTGGCAGCGTTCGCACAAGGCTCAGGCTTTAATTAGTTCCCCGATCATACGCCTTTCTTCACACACGATGCAGGAACCAGGTTTCAGACACCTCGAGGTCGGTGGCCCTGAGATCTTAGCCGGCGACCACAGCTCACATTCAGTCAGCTCGATTCCACCGGTGGTAGGACGTGCCTACCAGTTCGAGATACTACCCAACAATTTGGTGACGAGCTCGCTCGAGCTGCGAAGTCCGGCTTAAGTCTGCGCAGCTTTCATCGGTTGAACGGTTTCGGCCTTCTCGCCTGAGGTCGACTTTACCGCAGCAGGTGTCGGCACCCGTCCGAAGTTCGAGCGTCTGATATTTTCGTGGACATATTTAGAACATGTGCTGTCTGCTTGAAGGTGTGCATGATGCAATGATCATGACTGGCCCTGGGATGTAAGCGAGTCTAGGGCAGCAGGGAGACAGAAGGAAGCCGCATCATCTTGTTGAACCTATGGTTTCGATCAACCTGATTTTGGAGTCAGTTCGGCGCGGTTACACAGGCCAAGGTGCCACCGGCTCGAGGCTTGACAACGTCCGTCCGATGTCGAGTTTCGGCTGCGGAGGCGACGACATGATTAATGCGGCTGGCGTCGGCCAAAAAGGTGCATCAATGAGATGCATCGCATTCAAATCGTGTACGTGCGACGAAAGCCGCCTTGTCAAGTTAAGTTGACTTCCAAGGCATCAACATTTCCCCTCCGAATTTATAATAGCAGTGCCAACCTAGAGAAGCTCGCCCAGGACGTTCCTCGACACCCCGGGCCACGCTGCGTTCGAACTCTCGCTCGGATCCCACACTCCCTACCAGCAACATTCGAAGGACGCGACTTTCTAGGAGAGGTGCAGGCAAGCATCGTTGGTGCTTTGACTTGAACTGCTAGTGACAGTGCAAGCCGATCGCATCCATTTTCTTGCTTTATCGAGATGCTGCACCTTGTCCTAGCTTAACATCTGCGGATCTGCAGTATCCGTGAGGCGAGGCCGAACAATGGCTGCTGCAGACGTTTGGGGCTTGGGACATGATTGACAGATTTCGAGCACAGTGCTGTTGGACAAGCCTGACGGCAAAAGCGCGTGGGTGGGCACATCTCGAATCTGCTTCCACCCTGATCCCTGATCGCGAGGTTGCCCTGGTCGTGGTTTCTGCGGAGCGGGGTGCGGAACTTCAGACTGAGGAGGCCAGGCCCTCAGGCCCTCAGGCTCTGATTCGGAGACATTCGTCTTGCGAATTTGCGGCGTGAAAGCCGCCCCTGACGTGGGAGCAGGTCCTGATGCACGCGTCGAGATGGAAGGCAGGAAGCACTGTTGTTCTCAAGACTTCTCAAGCAGATCACAACCTTCTTCGACCCCAGAAGCTATGTAGCATTTTGAAGCTGCACCAAAGTGTTGTGACATCTATTTTTCACACCACAGCGTAAGAACCGCTGCCGCTGTCGAGCTGAGCGGCAGCTGCGCTTGCGAGGTACCCATTGTCTTTGCGCTCAACAAAATCGATCTTCCAGAGCACTGCTGGCGAACACTTGAGCTCTCGCATCGTTTAGGACACGAGTGCAGGTTTGTGTTCCGCGGCCACGTGAGATCAGGGCCGCTGAGATGTGGGGATGGCAAGAATCAGGCCGGAAGCATAGGTTGCTTCAGTGGAACCTTTCTGGCTCAGGGTTGTTTCAGAGCGTTCGGGCTTTCAGTTACAATTGCAGGGTTCCACAGTTGAGGTGTGGGACCAGGGTTTCAAAGGGTTCAAGACACAGGATACAGGAGCGCCCTTGCATGCTGTCCTTTTGCCCGCTCCGCGATCTGCTTTCGAGGTTCGGCCAAGCCGACTGAACAGGATGCGCGCAATTTTTGTCACAGGGAGCTGTCCGTTTCTACAGATTGGATGCCCATGCCCAAGCCACCCTGCTGTCATCATGCGTGTCTTCGGGCTATCGGCTGTCGTACAGTTTTTGCTGCGTCGTTTCTTAGGATGTGTTGGTTTGAGTGCCGCCACACCAGCGCCAGACCTTTGCTTGCCACATGTCTCGATCCGATCAAGCTGAACCCACGGGGCGGTCCTGGCTTGCTTGTCCTGGAGCATCGAAGAACATTTTGCCAGTTGTAACCTGGAGCTTACGCGAGCCGAGCTTCGCCGGCAGTGCTGTGCCCTCAGTGGAGCACACCTCATGCCAGCATTCAAAGCTGCAGATTTGATAACATTGGTTCGCAACGAATTGTGGTCAACCCTTCAAGCACAGGCCAGCTCCTTCATGAGCACGGCCTGGTCGATGTGGACTTGACGCGCGAGGCTTGTACAGTTTCAGTGAAATCAACTCTGAAGGTTTGACAACGGTAGAACCTTGCCCCCTGGTGGGGTGGACAAAGAATTCACTAACTTTCCATGCTATAGACTGGTTTCAACAACATGCACTTGCATGCACGTGTATACACCCATGCATGATGCGCAGAAGCACTTGCCGACATAAACGCGCACCACACGCGCGCACGCACGCACGCACGCACGCACGCACGCACGCACGCGCGCGCGCGCGCGCGCGCGCGGGCGGGCGCGCGGGCGGGCGGGCGGGCGGGCGGGGCGGCGGGCAGGCGGGCGGGCGGGCGGGCGGGCGGGCGGGCGGGCGGGCGGGCGGGCGGACATATGCATGCACGCACCCACGCACGGACACAGACGCACATGCAGACAGACACGAAAACACACAGACACACAGACACCCTTCTGCATCATGGTGCCCAGGCACAACAGGGGGTTCGATGACACGGGCTTGGCTTGGAAGGGCTGGAGCGGTGACGCCAGCACGGCTCTCCTCCAGGGCGACATTTCTGCTTCGGAGCCCGACTTGCTGCCCCCCGCGGACGGCATCACTGCGATGCCGGATTGTTGGAAGGCGCAGCGGTTCCTGTTGTGCACAAATGTCTATATGGCTGTGGCCTCAGCAACGCCCCGCGGTTGTGGGCACTCACAGTGATCGCTCGGCTCAAGGACATCGGCTGCCACCAGCACTCCTTCGACAAATTGGCGGGCAGCTGGTTTCAACTATCATCGTTTACGTGGAGGGTGTCATCGGGGCCCATAGTATCGACTACGACATCGCCGAGCAGGAGTTTGCCATCGGCAAGACGATGATCTTCAAGGGCAAGCAGTTGACCCTCCGCCAGTGTCAATGGCCGAGTGTACCTCCACGTCTGCCAGGGCGAGTTCATCGAAGGCTTCGACCCTGGGAACGTGCCGAGAGGCAGCAACTTGGAACAGGGACGCGACCCTCGCCAACCTTCGTGAGCTTTACCAGGTGGTCGACTTCGCCCGCGAGGCCAAGGGCGAGGGCTTCATCATCCCCAACGTCCCCTTGAACAAGGCGACGGTGGTGCTGGCCTGCTCCAACGCCATTTAGGCCAAAGCCGAGCAGAGCCGATGGCAGTGCGGTGTTTTGATCGCTCTGTGCCCGGCAGCTGTGCTCCAGAAGCAGTGCCCGCCATGACCGTGGCGGTCGCAGTGGGTGTGCAGGTCGACTTTGGCAACTGAAATCTGCGCGGCAGATGAGGCATGCGACCGCAGCACCTACATCAACATGTTTTTGGAGGAAGTCTTGTATGACATCTCTGCCCACCGCGTTGGGAGCCGCTTGCACAACATATCGGTTACCGATGCCAAAATGACGTGGTTATCAGCGATATGCCCAACCTGAGCAATATTCGGGCCATCCAGGAGGTTGTGTGTGCCGATCGGTTTCACTGGATTCCAACAAGTTTGATGTGGCCAGATGCTCTTGCGAAGCAGAGCTTGGGATTCCAGCTAGCCATGCACTTCAGGACCCTACAGCAACACTGAAGCAGTAGTGCAAACTCAAGCGTTTGCAATCCAACAAAATATTTCACTGGTGTAAAATTTGAGGTAGCGTTAGACATGCATATTCGCAGCTTGGATTGCATGAGCATCTGATCATGACCGTGACACGTCCTCTCGAGACGGGCCCCATGAGCTGACTTTTTTGATTGGCCAAGCGGCCAAAAGATGCGCATGTTTGTACGCGATTGCTAGTGCTGTGTTCGCTAAGACAGAGCTCACTCAGTTTATGAAGCCAAAGTAACCCTCAAAGTGCACAGCAATGCTTTTCTTTGTGCAGCACACACAGTGCAGTCTTGAG